AGGGGGGGGGGGCATGAGAGCCAAGTAGTAAAATATTACCTCGATTATGGTTAAGGGGGGAACCAAGCACTAAGATTCAAAATGTTCTCCCCCCCACACACAGCACCCCATCCCCGCAAATCATGACTAGTATGATTTCTCAAGGTTTTCAGAGCAAGAGAAGTCACCAGGGCGTCATCTGTTATGTTTATCCTGACAGAAATAAATCTCCGCCTTTGGAGGAAGGCTGCCCACTTGGCCCAGGCTGTCTGGGGAATCGGGCTGACCACACCCCAACTCCCCTGCCCCCCATCAGCACCCTCACTCACCCTCTGTGGATGAGCCCAGAAGACACACTTTGGCCTTATTGATCACCAGGCTGCTTCATTACCTCTGTGGGCTCTAGATCAATAACCTCACAGCAACATAATAGACTTTTTTAAGAAAATCAATTAAACAGAATATTCTTTTTTTTTTTTTTTGTGCAAGAAGTGAGTTTGAAGGTCCTTGCATGTGTGAGGTTTAATGTGCACAGCTTCCCCGAGAGCCATCTCACAACGAGCAGGGCCAAGGCCAAACCAAAAAGTACACGGGCTGCAAAAGAAACCCAGTGAACTCGAGGCCGAAGAGGAAAGCAAGGAGCCAGCACGTGCTGGAAAGCTGTGAGTGACCCCACTGGTCACCTTGTCTGATCCCTGCAAATCCTCCCGTGGGGGGGAAAAATGTCAGTGTGCCTCTTTCATCTTGATTTAAGGACACAGAACTGAAGCGTCTTCGAAAGCTGAGACCACTCTCTGAATTTCCCATTCAGAGAGCAGGAGGAAGCTGGGTGGGCATAAACACACGAAACACAGCCAGGCTGTGGCTGTCAGGGTTTGTCACTAATGCCTCTCATGCCTCTTCCCCAACCTACGGGGGAGCACCTGGGGCTCTGCGAAGCCGGGCCCAGGCCTCACAAGAGATGGGGAGGTTTCTGACACCAGCAGCACCCCTCCACTGCCCATGAACATTTGGGGAGACATGTGTGAGGGATGGGTGCGTGTGTGTTCATTTGTGCGCAGGGACATCCAAGCGTGGAGGTGTAAATGTACGAGGGGACCCGGCCACCTCCAGCGTTGCTCCTCAGGCACCTTCCACCTTTTGTCGGAGACAAGCTCTCCCACCAGCCTGGAAGACCTCCAGGTAGACTGCGCTCCGAGCCAGCAAGCTCCAGGAATCTTCCTGTCTTCACCTCCCCAGGACCCAATTACAAGCCTGAGGCACCAGCCTGAAATGATAGCACTATCTCCCCAGATCCCTTGCTTGGATTCCGGCAGCTCACCTACACAAAGCAAATTCACAGAGTGCCCCAGGGAGTGGAGGTGTGCAGAGTACCACATGGGGGTCCTCAGCTGGTGGAACAGCCCACTCGTGATTCCCTGCTTCAGCCTTGGAGTTTTCTCCCCGGTCTGCCGTGATTGTGTATTATGTACCTTCTAGAAGAGGAGGAGGATGGGGAAGAGGAGGAGGGGGAGGGGAGGCAGAGGAGGAGGAAAAGGAGAAAGGGGAGGAGGAGGAGGAGGGGGAGAAGAAGGGGAAGGGGGAGGAGGAGGAGGAGGAGGAGGGGGAACAGCAGCAGATTCTCTTCCTGCTTCTGGCAATGCTGAGATAAACCACTCAAATGGCCATGGTGACATTGTGTGGAGCCCAGCAGGAGAGTGACCAGAAGTCCACGGCACTGCCAAACACAGGGAACCACATGTCCCAGCCGGTGGGGAATAAATAACAAAGTCATAAACTCCACAGAGAAGCTGAGCGCTGACATTTAAACTTCTCCCTCTGCTTTGTTCTCCTGGTTCATGTCATCAAAATACTGGGATGGAATCTCAGCTGTAATTTATGTCCATTTCAGGGTGGGTCTTACTCACCGGCATTTCCTCCTGTCTGCGTCTGGCTGTCTTGAGCCTGTCCTTGGGTAACTCGGGTGATCTATCTGCCTCTCTCAAGCCTCCCAGGCCTGGGACAGCAAGCGCTCACCACCACACCTGGCCTTTTCGCACAGGTGCTGAGGATTCAACTCAGGCCCTCCGGCTTGCAAGGCCTGCGCTGTGCACACCACCTGCAGGCATCTTTGTATCTTCGTATCTTCCCCTGCAAGCCCACCACCACACCTGTCTTATTTCTTTTGGCATTTGGAAGATTGTGGCGTAAAACCTGCATTGCAGCCCGATGTTGGCAATGCATACTTTAATCCCAGCACTGGCGGGAGGCAGAGGCAGGTGGATCTCTGAGTTCAAGGCCAGCCTGGTCTACCGCGTGAGTTCCAGGACAGCCTCCAGAGCTACACAGAGAAACCCTGTCTCCTGGGGAGGGGGGTTGTAACAGAAAGGTGCAGTAAAAAGCCCAATTTTTCCATGCAGGGCTAAGGAAATACTCTGAAAGGCTCTCAGACAACCCTGGGGCCAGGTGGAGCTGCCTGGAGAGCAGGGTTTGATGGAGAATGGAGGTAACACTCAGTCACTCCGTGCTGGGGTGAGAGATGAAGGAAATCCTCAGCCTCCCTCCAGAGGGCAGGGCTGGGGAGACTCCTGGGGTGCTGGGGTACGTGCCTCCCTTTATGGCAAGGGAAAGAAATACAAACGGAGGCCTTCTAGATCCAGCCATTTGGGGGTGACCACCTCCAAGATGGGAGCATTAATTCCTTTTCCAGTGCTGTGGCAAGACTCCCTGAGCAAGACAACTAAGAAAAGAAAGTAATCAGACTACCCAGTTTCAGAGGATAAGAGTCCACACTGGGGGAGCAGAGGCAGCGGGAAAAGTTGAGAGCTGTCTCCATCCACAAGGAGGACACGCATAGCACACCGGGAATGAATGGCAGGAGGGTTCTGAAGCCTCAAGGCCCGCCCCTATGATACCTCCAACAGCGTCACACCCCCTGATCCTTCCTAAACAGTTCCAAACTGGGGACTAAGTATTCCAATATCTGAGCCCATGGCCACTCTCATGCAAACCACCACAGAGGGTTTAGTCCAACAGAATTCACAATAGCTAGAAGGCAATCTCAGCCAAACCCTGCTTGGGCCATCCAAGGAACCACACTGACCCTTCCACACTGGACCACTCAGAGATTCACTGCCAACCCACAAGGACACTGGGTTCTGAACCTCTCAGGGAACCCCCCCCCCAAGGAAGAAACAGCAGCATTCCATAATAATCGAGGTAGAAACAACATTCCCCCTGTGCGGTCTATTGGTACAGTTTTCCCTGGAGAACGCTAAAATCTTGCTTTTATAGGTCGTACTATGTATCCCTGGCTGACCTAAAGCTCACTAGATAGACCAGGATGGATTCAAACTCACAAAGATCTGCCTGCCTCTGCCTCCTGGGTGCCGGGATTAAAGGCATGTTCTGCCATGCCCAGTGAGAACTTTTTTTTTTAATTCTCTCAGAGATGGACTCCACCAGACAAGGTATCTGTCAATAAACAGACACAGGAACCTTCTATATGCCTTGAGTTCCTCCCGGGAAATATCCCCAGGTTGCCCAGGACCAAGGGTCTGCTTGTATGCTATGAGTGAAACTGAGAAACACGGCCCGGGGAATCCCCAGCAAAGTGCTCCTGATTCCCTGCTCAACCTCCCCTCCCACCCAGCGCTCCAGCTGGAGGACTGCCCTGAACTCAGTGCAACTTTGTTACTAGGCAGTTTTCCGTGACTGTAACAAAATGCCTGATGCCGGTCAATCTTATAAAGAAAGTTTATTGAGGCTATAAATTCAGTTTTGCTCTGGGAGTGCTATTTGTTGTTTGTGACAGGTCCCTCTGTGCATTTACAGACTCAAAAATTGTCCTATATCGGCCTCCTAAGTGCTGTGGGGCTGAAAGTCCAACAGCCCAGCATCTGCCCTGGGAAGGGCTCCTTGACGACCAAGCAGCAGAAGCCATCATGGTGGGCATGTGTAAGAAGACATTCCATGTGGGGCCACGGGCCTGAGCATGGGAAGGGGTGGTGGAGGCCTTCCACCAAGCCCTGTCTGCCCCCCAGCATAATCGCAGTGAGGACCACACTCTTCACACATGAGTAATTGGAGGGACCCTCACACCGTGCCCAAACCACAGCACTCCCCAGAATTTATGGGCTGTTTAGACTTTGTCACAAGATGACTGTTAGGGTGAACAAAGGCTCCCGAGAATTCTGGGTCCTATTTCCACAGCCCTGAGCCACTGCTTATATGGGAAAGAGAACTTCGCGATTGTGATTAAAGATGAAGATTTGGAGCTGGAGAGATGGTCCAGCGATCGCGAATGCATGCTGTTCTTGCAGAGGACTTGAATTTGGTTTGCAACACCGACAGTGGGCAGCTCTCAACCGCCTGTAACTCTAGCTCCAGGGGGATCAAACACCCTCTTGTGGACTCTTCGGGTACCTGCATCCACATGTACATATGCATGCACACATGCATGGACACATATAAAAAGCTTAGCGGAACACTGGTGGCACACACCTTTAATCGCAGCACTCGGGAGGCAGAGGCAGGTGGATCTCTGTGAGTTCGAGGCTAGCCTGGTCTGCAGAGTGAATCCCAGGACAGCCAGGGCTACACAAAGAAACCCTGTCTGGAAAAAGTTAATGTGATGATTTGGCGATGGGAGGTATCCCCAGAATCACAGAAAGCTCTCACGTAGACTATTATGAAAAGGGTCCAAAGGGAGCCTTAAGAGTAGACACAATGCCTTCAAAAACCTAGATTACAGGGAAGGTGGAGGATGGGGTCATGAGCCAAGGATGGCAGACAAAGCTGTGTCAGGCTTCGCCGTGATAAAAACCGTGATTTTCTTCTGGCAAAACTCTGAGGGGCCAGGCAGTGGGTTAGTAGTGGGACAGGCAGTGGTTAGTAGTGGGACAGGCAGTGGGTTAGTAGTGGGACAGGCAGTGGTTAGTAGTGGGACAGGCAGTGGTTAGTAGTGGGATTCTAGCCTGGCATGTACAAGGGTTGGGTTACACTCCGAGTCCCCCTCCAAGAAACACCCTAGCCTTTAGAACTAGGAGACAATAAATTTTATTATCTCAGCAACCAAGCTTTTGGTAATTCGATACAGCAGCTGTAGGGAACTAATACAGCAGTAAAGTGTGTCACAGTCACTCTTTCTTTGATTTGTGATTTTTAACAGTAATTTTAATAGAAGAATAAATTTTCATTTAAAGAATCAAATTCAATAAAATATTTCATGCGTGCACTAAAATTTGCATTTACCAAACATAAATATTTCTTGCCACAGTTGGTGCTGTTTCATTGTTTTAAAGTTGAAACGGAAATAAAAGCTATGTGTGCGTCTACAGATTGATGGGATCCCAGCCAAGCTCTGTGTCTTCAATGATGCCGCACTGTGCAGTCGAAGTTCATTTCCGCTCCTCTGTGGGGGATGGGATCCTGCCTGAGGAGAGCATAGAAAGACACCTGGTGGCAGAGGTGAAGGCCCTTGCCACAAAAATCTAATGTCCTGAATTCAGTCCCAGGGACCCAGTATAAAGTGGGCGCGGCGGCGCACATCTGTAATGCCAACTCTCCTGCAGCAAGACGGAGACAGAGACAGCAGAATTACCCGGAATCTCCTGGCCCAGCCCAGAGTACACAGCATGTGGGCAGAAACTAGAGAGACCCTTCTTTAATAAGGTAGAAGAGAGAGAACCAACTCATGAAAGTTGCCCTTTGACCTCTGCGTGTACACAGGAGTGTGCTCGTGCCTGCACGAATATACAAATAGGTGCTGCACATGTACACGCACACAGATATTTTTAAATGTTTGCTTTTCTTTTGTTTTTCAAAAAGGGTCTCACTGTGCTTCCCTGGCCAACCTAGAACTTGCTGTATAGACCAGTCTGTCCTGGAACTCACAGAGATCCAGCTGTTCCTGCCTCCCCAGTGTTGAGATTAAAGGAGTGAGTCTTCATGCCTGGACATCTGTGTGTGTGTACATATATGTTTGCATATGTATGTTTCTGTGTGTATATATGTATGCATGTAAGTATGTACACATGTGTTTGTATATGTATGTGTATATGTGTACATTTGTATGTATGTGTGTATGCTGGTGTGTGTATATATGTATGTATGTGTGTGCATGTATGTGTATGCATGTGTGTATATGTATGTGTATGTGTATAATTTTGTGTGTATATATGTATGTGCATGTATGTGTGTACTATGTGTTTGTATATGTACCTATATGTGTATGTTTGCATGTATGTGTGTATGTTTGTGTATATATGTGTGTGCGCATGTATGTATATGCATTGTGTATACGTATGTGTATAATTTTGTATATATATGTGTGCGTGTGTGCATATGTGTACTTGTGTGTAGTTACCTATGGAGCCCAGAAGAGAGCATCAGATCCTTTGAAGCTGGAGTTACAGGGTATTATGATTTGCCCAACATGAGTGTTGGGAACCAATGTCTGGTCTTTGCCAAAGCAACAAATGCTGTTAACCATTGAGCTATTTTCAGCCTTGACAAATACTTTTTGAAAGACAAGCAGGACGATCCTGATCCTCCTTTTTTAAAAGCAAACCGTAAGGAATTGTTTTCCAAATGAATGCAAACAGCCATCCTGATGGCAAAGGCCAAAGGTACAAAGTTTTAAAGTGTGCTACCCTGAAACTTGTGTATACCTCAGGACTCTACAGTGACACAGCGTGTTTCGGGGGAAATGACTGATGCCAGCCAGACTTGGCCAGTACTTAGGTGTGCGGCGCTTAACAGAGAGCAGAGCAGCCTTCCAGGGGTTTTGTTATTGTTTTGAAACTCGCTCCAGGAACTGCCTGTCCTCACTGCTGACATGGGGAACGGACAGCTCCCGTGCCTGCCCTGGTACCACACTGGTTTCTCGGTGTCCAGGAAGAAGGAAGGGCGTTCTCTGGGCTGGGAAGCTAAGCTTTCCTCTGGCCCTTGGTTGCCAGGGGTCCAGGAACATCCAGGGCAGTGGCTGGTCTCTGGGGGCTGTGATGAGAGAGCGTGTGGGCAGAGGGCCAGCGGCAGAGGGAGCTCTGTGAGAAGGCCCAGGCCCTTCAGGAGCAGGAAGCGGCAGAGTCCCTTCTGCCCCACGCTGATCACCTTGCAAGGCATCTACGGGGAGGATCGACTGATCTCCCAGCAGCAGATGGGTCCCCGTGCAGCCCCTTCTCCAGGGAGCACCCAGCCTGCTGAGTCCTGCCTCCCTGATAGCCCCGCTGAGGCTACCAACTCCTAAATCCCACATACAGGCCTCTCCTTAAAGGAAGGCCTCAACCAGGAGCTCCTGCCATGGACCACTTTCTTCTGATTGGCCCGGCGAACCAGGGCATCTGTCTGTCTCCAGGCTTGTGGTGGGCCTGCGGAAGGATGAAGTCACCAGGAAGCAGAAACAAGGAAAGGCCTCTCTGCCCAGCATCACCACCTGGCTTTCCCCTCTGCAGCAAGCATGTCCCATCATCGCATTCACCACGCCCCTTCTCCAGAGCAGGTGGCACCTGTGGGCTTCCGGAGCTGGGAGCCGGCAGGGATACAGGATGCACTGGCCGGGCCTTGCCAGCAAGCAGCCTGTCCAAGAAAGCCAGTTATGGCAACAAGTCTTCCCCTACACATCCCCCTAAGACAAGGCTTCTTGGTTCATCCAATGGCATCTCATCAGGTCATTATCCCGCGCCCTCCACCCGCGCGCCGCCCCCCCCCCCCCCGTCCTGGTGCTTCATCCCTCCACCAAGAAAGGGTCTTTGCATACCCCTTATGCTTTTAAATTTGCATTTATTTATTTGCCTTTCTTTCTCTATGGTGTGTGTGTATGTCAGTCGACAACATTCAGGAGTCAGTTCTCTTCTACCATGTGAGTCCTGACTGGGGTCGTCTGACTTTACCCATTAAATCACCTCACCAAGCTTTGACCTATTTAGTTTGATTTTAGGAAATAGGTCTCCAGGTATAACTCAGGCTGCCCCGGAACCCGCTATGTAGACTGGCCTCAAACTCCGCAATCTTCCTTCCCCAGCCTCCCCAGTGCTGAAATTATAGACAAGAGCTGCCACCCCAGCCACAGCTTTGGCCTTTTACCAGAAGCTTTCTGGAGAAGTACCGACTTTCAGTCGCGCCCCTCCCGGGGAGCCGTTTCAAGGCTTTAGGGGCTACTCCAGGCATCACCGGGGCCAGCGCTCCATTTTGAACTGAGCTGGAGTGGGAACCGGGTAGGATGGGGGAGCGGTGGGCAGGAGCATCTCCCACCCTGTCGGAATGCAAATCACTGGGTGCTGAGATGAGTGATCCTGAAGGATGGCAGGCAGGGTTCCCAGTGGGAGACATTTGTCATTTCCACTCTCCAGCAAGATACCCGCCTCTGCCATCCCTCCCCCCTCCCTCCCATCCAGGTAGCTCCACTGGGGCACAGGTGCCCCAGACAAACAAAGGCGGCTCCCCGCCCCCATCTCCTCCTGTCAGACGAGACTCTGCCTGGCCTGGCGCCACCTTGGATGTGGATTGTCCCGGCTGTGCACAGGGCAGCACCTCTCGGGCATCAGGCAAAGGCCCTTTGTCTTTTCAGGGATAATACGAAGCCTCATACCTCTCTCCTCTGCGGGCTTCTCTGCTAATTGGCAAGTGCGTGTTCTGCGGCCACGCAGCTAAGATTTTCCATGATGTCAGCAGAGTTCCGAGGTGCCTGGATTCACCCGTCAGGCATAGAGCGGGGAGAGAGTGCCAGGCCTGGTTGGGTCCCAGTGAGAATTAGCATACTGCTCGGCCCCCGCCCGCTGCTGTAGACGCGGCTGAGGAAGGGATAGCTGGACAAGCTCCCCGAGACCGTGACATTGCCAGGACAGCACAGACCGTCCCGCCATCTCCGATTCAGGGCTCCTCATCTTGAGAGCAGACAGTGGAGAGCATCACACACGGGGCAGGACTCAAGTGTTCCAGACCAAGTGCCAAGAAGTGACAATCTACAAAGACGGAGTGGGAACCCTTCCTCGGTCATGGGGACTGCACCACCTGGCCAGCTGCCTTCCAGTGCTTGGAGCGGATTCCCCAGTGATGGTGGACTGGACTGGTGCCTTGCACCCCTCCCCCTCCCCTCCCCTCCCCTCCCTCTACCTCTCCTCTCCCCCTCCCCTCCTCTCCCCTCCCCCTACCTCTCCCCTCCCCCTCTTCCTCCTCTCCTGCTCCTCCCATCCTTCCCTCCCACCCTTCCCTGCTCACAGCCTGCCCACATTGGGGGCCCAGTAAACATTTCCCTGTTGAATCAAAAAGCAAGCACAAAAAGCTCCTTGTCGGACTGAGGCAGGGCAGAAAGAGAAATAAAAGGATATGAGGAGAAAAGGAAGCCCTGGGGAACTAGTTTGCCCTTCCCCTGAATGAAGCCAAGAAATTTCAGCATGTGCCTTCAAGATGGCTCCGCAGGTAAAGACATGTCTCCAATCCCGCAGGCCTGCGTTCAATCCCTGGGGCCCACACAGTGGAGGCAGGGAACTGGCTCCCACAAGGTGCCCTCTGACCTCCGCAATATGCACATACATGTAAGTTAATAACTATGATTTTTAAGAGTGAAGAAACATCAACATAACTGATAAAGCCGAAATTGCCCTAGAGAGAAGCCCAGAGACTTCTTCAACATGGATGCGAGAAATAGCAAATACGGACCACAAAGTAGCCCTCTGACCTCCAAACCAGTCCAGTGACACACACACACACACACACACACACACACACACACACACACACACATGAACTCACACACATGAGCTCTCTCTCTCTCTCTCACACACACACACACACACACACATGAGCTCTCACACACACTAGTACACTAGTAAGTACAACTTTAAAACAATGTTTGACCAGGCAGCGGTGGCGCACGCCTTTAACCCCAGCACTTGGGAGGCAGAGGCAGGTGGATCCCTGGGAGTTCAAGGCCAGCCTGTTCTACAGAGCAAGTTCCAGGAGAGGTTCCAAAGCTATACAGAAAAAGTCTATCGTGAAAAACCAAAAGAAAAACAAGTCTGATTTAAAAATGCACTGTGCCGCCGGGCGTTGGTGGCACACGCCTTTAATCCCAGCACTCGGGAGGCAGAGGCAGGCGGATCTCTGTGTGTTCGAGGCCAGGCTGGACCGACAGCCTCCAAAACAGAGAAACCCTGTCTCGTAAAACCAAAAAAAAAAAAAAAAAAAAAAAAAAGATAAAAATGTCTGTGCCTACTCAGGGCACAGTGTTAGCAGCCCTGAGTTTAACCGTGTGAGCACATCTCTCTCCCCAAACCCACACAATGCACCTCAGAAAACCGCTTTATGCTTCCAAGGAAATTATTATTTTTTACTCTGTGTGTGTGTGTGTGTGAAGAATTTACATGCAGGTACCCAAAAAAAGGCCAGAAGAGAGCGTTGGAATCCCTGAAGCTGGATTCCCTGGGCAGTAGCAAGTCACCTTGCAGATGCTGGGTACCCGGGTCCTCTGCAGAGGCAGTGAGTGGGTGCTCTTTGCCACTGAGCCATCTCTCCAACCCTCCAAAAAGAAATTCCTCCACATAAAACATAAGTGATCACCTCATCTATATTTTTAAGTGCTACCTAGTTTTTTAAATGCAAGTTTATTTTTACTTACTTGTTTACTTTTGTTTTGCTTTGTTTTTGGAGGCAGGGTTTCTCTGGTAGCCCTCGACTGTCCTGGAACTCTCTCTGTAGACCAGGCTGGCCTCGAACTCAGAAATTCACTTGCTTCTGCCTCCCCTGTGCTGGGATTGAAGGCACACCTTACCACTGCCCCTTCAAAGTCTACTTATTGAGCGCCATCTTTGTGTCACAATGGTTCTTAAGGAGTCATGAGCTGCTGGTGAGTGCCAGCTGTGAACCACGGGCTCTGGAAACTGGCTTGTCATTACCACAAGCTCCCAGAAACGAAGGCCCCGAGTTCAGTCCCCAGTACCCACAGAGAAGCTGGCGCAGTGCTGTGTGCCTTAATCCCAGCATCCCTGGAGTGGTCTAGCCCAACTGGTAAGCTCTGGGTTCGGTGAGGAACCCTGTCTCAAACGATAAGGTGGGAAGTAATTGAGGAGGGTACCCCATGATGACTTTTAGTCTGCATACATGAACACACACACACACACACACACACTACCTGTATGCACACACATGAGCATATAAACACGGGGCATCCGATGATGACCATCGGTCTATACACATGCACACACACACAGCTACATGCATGCACACACGGGCGTGGGGGGGCAGCGAAGAAGCGTCTAGACCCAGCCTGTGTGCCAGTTTGGGAGCTTGACTCTGACCCACCCTCGTGTTCTGTGTCTTGCCTTCCAGCCTCTGCCCTAAAGCACTTCTTGCCTGCATCTCCCTGTTGTCAATGAACGATCCCATGTCTCTAAATGAATGAGGGACACTGAATTTGTTCCCTTCTTTGCAGGTTTGGCCCTTCCCAACACAGATTTCCTCTGCTGGAGAGAAGGCCTGCCCTACCTCACTCCTGCCCCATCTCCCACCTGCCCCAGCTCCCTCTGGCCCATCCTAGTCTCCTCTCCAACCTGATGAATGAAGCCCTCGCCCTGGGAACATCCCGTGGCCCTGGTCCCACACCCCTCTCCATGGGAGATCATGATGACTGTCAGCTCAGGGGGGTGCACTGTGTCAGCTCAGTGGCCTGAAGAGAGGTGGGATGGGGGTGCACTGAGAACAGGGGGGTGCACTGAGAACAAGGAAGGGGGGGCCGATCTTCAGTAAATGCAGATGTTTTTAAATCACTGTAATAAACCGGAATGGATACTGTGAATTGGAAGCATAAAAGCTAAGTGGGCTTTTAACTATTTGTCATATACCTAGAGGGGTCACTGGAGAATAGAACACAGGGATGTGTTCTTGTTTTCTTCCAGGTTCTTGTTTTCTTCGGGGGTTGCTTCTGCCTGGTGAGTGAGTTTGTTGGGCAAATGCACACACACACACACACACTCACACACACTCACTCACTCCCTCTGCCTCACGCTCACATAGGAGCACTCAGCACACACACCCCATCCTCCACTGTCTGCAATGTCTGTCTCTCTCACACTCAGCAGGACTGCACTGAGGCAGCCTTGGCTACAAAGAAGAAATGCAGTGACACAGCAAAGGCTGGAAAAGTTGAACTCTGACCTCCTTGGAAAATTTGCTCAGAGGCCCTAGTGTCTTTCTTCCCCAGACCTACGTATTTGGAAAGAGGGATGGGGGGGGGCATGGCTTCTCAGGGGACATACCCATCCCAGTTTGGCTGCTCGCCTCTGACCACCCCAGTCAAGGGGCCTCTCCATCGACTTGCTGTCCCAACTCCTTCCTCAGATGACTAGAAAGGTTTGGACAGGTTGCATCATTCCCTTTGGGTCAGGCTCCACAAAATGCCCAGGCACTTTTTGCTTAGATTATTCCTTTCCTGGGTGGCTGGAGAGATGGCTCAGAGGTTAAGAGTACCAACTGCTCTTCCAGAGGTCCTGAGTTCAATTCCCAGCAACCACATGGTGGCTCATAACCATCCATAATGAGATCCGGTGCCCTCTTCTGGCCTGCAGGCATACATGGAGGCAGGGTGTTGCATTCATAATAAATCTTTAATCATAATAAATAAATAAATCTTTTAAAAATTTTGTTCCTTCCCTGAGTTCAGGGAGCAGGATGGAGTCTGTGTCAGTTGTGGCCTGAGGGGCTTTGAGAGGCTTTGTAAAATCCCTCTGGGCAAGCTCCTCTTCACACCTTCCTCAGAGATCCTGGTGCATTGGAGAGGCAAGACCCGTGGGTGAGAGAAGACAGAGGCGGTGAAGCCAGGAGCCAGGTAACCCTCACCCACTCTTAGCCTAGAACCAGCCTCGAGGAAGGGAAGCCAGAACATGGTTTTTTCCTGGGGGCACCTACCCCGTGTGTCCTTGACAATGATGGCTCTGCTATAAGATGAAGCTAGGAATCTGAGGTACGGTCACCTAGACTACCGTGTGCCCACACATTGTCCTGTGTCGCCGAGATTTTCCTCTCATGCCCTCTGCCCCTTTTCATTCTCACACCTGCTCGCTGGACCCAAACCTTGGGATAGGAAGGGAGCCAGGGAGGAAGTCAAGGACAAGACAGCCTAGACGGTCTCGGAAGGCTACGAGGCTGGAAACCCACTGCTCTTGTTTACCACTGAGACAGAAAGGCCTTTTGGCTCTCTGGTCCTGCTGTAAGGTACCTTCTGAGTCAGGCTAAGATCCCACGGCTCAGGGAGCCAGGCTTTGGCAGAAGACTTCCCGTCTCCTTTTAGTGTGGTCATGTGAAACATGCCAAGCCCCAGCTCCCCTGCCCTGCACTTCCCTCCACCTCCAGAGACCTCAGGGGCAAGACCCACAGTCAGAGCAGCATACGGTATCTCAGCTAAGTAACATAACGTGCCAGCTTGTCTCTAAACCGCTGAAATAAACATGTCACAGAACTCCCCCTTCAGCCTGTGCTCTGGTATGCTATTTTATCCTGGCTTTCTCTTTTCTTCTTTTACTTTATGAACGTGTGTACACGCTCGTCTGTGTACAGGTGCGTGTTTTGGGGGCGTTATGTGCATATGCACGCGCGCACGCACGCGCGCGCGCGCACACACACACACACACACACACACACACACACACACACACACACACACACGGTGTCACCCTCAGAAGCACCATCTAGCTCCTTTGAGTCTCTCACTGGCCTGGGGCTCACTAATTAGGCTAGCCTGGCTGGCCAGTGAGCTTCAAGGCTCCCCTGCCCCCTCCTCCTCAGTGCTGACATTCCAAGTGGATGCCACCACCCAGGCAAGCCCTATTTACTCCCATCCCTCGTCCTTTTGGTTTGTTTGGTTTTGTTTTGTTGAGACAGGGGTTGTCTCTGTAGCCTTGTCTGTCCTGGAACTCACTCTGTAGATCAGGTTGCTCTCAGACTCATAGAGATCCACCTGCCTCTGCCTCCCGAGTGCCCCAGCACTTTCCTAATCTATCACTAATTTTCACAATCTGATGACAAACCACCTGCAGACAGAG